GGAGGATCACCCTTGAAGTTCTCACCCTCCTTCTGGGTGTCCCAGAGTGAGTGAGACCAAACCGGGACAATCAGCTCCCTGCCAACCTCAGGCAGGGGCAGGTGCTAACTGCCTTCTGGGCCTCAGACTTCACCATCGCAGAAAGATGGCACCACCTTCTCAGGCAGGAGGCCCCTGAGGCTGGGGTTGGAGCAAAAAAACACCCCTTCCTCCTAGTTTCTTCTGTTGGGAATAGAAGGAGGGGGATTCTAGGGGAAGGAAGTATAGCCCCTGCCCAGATCTGTTTCCAGATACTTCTGTGGCCTCTGCTGGGGGTTGGAGCAGGGCAGGGGTGGTGGGTCACAGTTCTGAGGTGACATATGAAGAGATCTTCCCTTAAAGATGTTAGGAGGGTAATGAGCGAGGGAGTTGCTGGGGAAAGCCCCTTCTCCACAGCCCCCGTGGGCCCTCATAGAAATGCAGGTTGGATTGTGGTGCAGCCAGGCCACCTGTCCCCTTGAGGACAGAAGCCTGGGGAGGGCCCCCGGGGCAGGCAGGTGTCTGCACTGCACACACACACACACACACACACACACACACACACACAACACATGCCTCTGTGTGCACAGGTCTGGCTATGGAGTAGGAAATGAACTCAGACACCATTCTCATTCGACAAGCTTAAAACACGATGTGGCTCATTTTTATTTTATCTCAGAAAAAAACGTTCCCTTTAGAAGAAAAGGCAGTTAGACAAGGCCTCTTGCCGGGCAGCTCCGCACTGCTTAGGCACGTGCCAGTGGCCTGCCAGCCCCGACCTCTCCCCTGGAGCCTGAGCCCCTTCTCTGGCACTGCTCTGTTGTAACTCCCTGTCCTTGATCCCAGCATTGTCACTCCGAGAGATGGCCCTGGGACTGAGACGTGGATGGCAGCTCATGACAGCAGGAGAGGACTGCCTGACTCCCCAGGCAGAGGCTCTGGTGCCAGGTTAGCAGCAGGACTGACAGCCGACCCGGCAGCCAGGGAGGAAAAGATAATAAAATTAAAAGGGTTTCCTCACATTTACATTTTTCCTGGAAAAAAAAAGTCAAATGTCACCTGTGGGCCCAGCAGCTCCTGAACCCTTTGAGAGTCTAGGGAGAGTGGTGGGTGGGTGGCAGGCAGCTGTTGGAGCCACTCCCCAGCCTCAGGGCCAGGCCAGTCTGCTGTGCCCAACCTGCTCCGTTGAGACAAGGTGGCGCTTCCAGATGCTTCTGCAGTGGAGGGCTGGGCCCTGGCCAGCTAAGATGCTGCTGGTGCTGTGGCCCCCACCTGGTACAGGGCTTCACAGCATGAAACATCGGCTTCCTGCGACCCCAAGCCCTCCTTGCTGGGCCTCATGCTGCTCCAGCCTGGGGCTCCCTCCTCTCAGTCCAGAGCAGGAACCAACTGCCCTCAGGGGCTCCTGGTACTCTCTCTCTCCTCCCAACATGACTGGTCAAGCCAACCAGAAAGATTAAGATTTCCTTCCCTCAGGAAGGGGCAAACTCCATGGATCATCAGGACACTCCTGCTCCATCCTGGGCCAGGGGGTCCTCTGTGCCAGGGGACTCTGGGCACACTCCCTTGAGCTCATGGCTAAGGAGCTCCACGTCTGGGAGGCCCGTGTCTCCCTGGGACTCTCGGGCACTCCCTCCACTCACCAGCCCCAGGGCATAGCCATTGGGCCTCCGCTCTGGGTGGGGAGCACTGCCGTTGGCCCACACTCCTGGGGGGTGGCCGTTGAGACGGAGGCTGACCTGCTCTCCATCACTGCCATGAGCTGCTAGGGCCCGGGCACTGGTGCCAGCTGCTGCCTTGAAGGGTTCTTGCTGCCCCAGGACGTGGCTGCGAATGATCTTGCGGAAGGTCTGGCGGAACTCGCGGATACGGTAGGCATAGATGAAGGGATTCACAACCGAATTGGTGTGGGAGAGGACGATGGCCAGGTACATGAGCCAGAGAGGGGCGTGGTTGCAGTCGGGACAGAAGAAGGTGAAGCAGTTGATGATGTGCAGGGGCAGCCAGCAGAGGGCAAAGAGCCCCACAATGATGGCCAGTGATTTGGCAGCGTGGACCTCCTTCTGCAGTGTGGACCGCGCCCGCTCCCCCGGCAGAGGCTGGCTCTCCATCTGCTTCAGCTGTCGTCGAGCTGCCAGGAAGATCCGCAGGTAGACACCCAGCATGAGCAGCAGGGGCCCCAGCACGCAGGCAAAGAAGTTGAAGTACACCATGTAGTTCATGGGGACCACGTCCTCAAAGAGACAGGCTACCTGGCCCTCCCCACAGCCCTGTGAGTGGTTCCTGCCCTCCTTAGGCTGACCGCAGTTGTTCCAACCCAGCATGGGAGTTAGGCCGATGGCAAATGACAGCACCCAGCAGATGGCAATGATGCCCTTAGCCCTCGTGCCAGTCACCAAACCATTGTACCTGGGGAGAAGACACCAGCGTCAGAGATCTGAGAAGCCAGGGTTAAGCAGGGCCAAGAGTTCAGGACCCCAGAGTAGCACCCTCTTCCCTATTTACTGGCTATAAGGTCTTGGACCAGTCATTCCTGCTGCCTCGCCTCAGCATCCTCTTCCATTAAGTGGAAGGAGTATGCCTTGCCTTTTCACAGGCTGCTGGGAGGTAACAGGAGAGCAGTCACCCCAGAAATGGAAACCCATGTACAAATGTCCAGATGGTCATTAAGTAGTCTTTGCAGTCCTGGGACTTAGTTTGGTTGGAAGGAATTAACACATGATTTTCTGAGGGGGAAAGAAAACATGATTTTTCTCTAAAGGCAAATGTGTCATGGTTGATCTTGGTTAAGGCTATGACACATTTCCCTTTAGAGAGTGGGAAGGGTTTGGAGGGTGTACTCACTGGCTGTGGGCAGCACCAGCCAGATCTGACCTGTAGAGGATCTAGGGCTCTTGTACTCTATACCCCTGTCTTCTCTTCCCCATTTGACTTGGGGTCTCCAGAAGCCCTTGAGGAGAGGCAGCATGGTGGGTAAAAGAGGGGAGGAGGTCCCAGGCCAAAGGAGATGCCATTTCTCCCCCTCCAAACCCACCCACAGCTCTCTGGAGAGAAATGAGAGGATTATGTGTTAACATTTACATGACCATCTTAACATTGGTAAGGAAATTCTGAGGTCAAGGGGGACAGTAATCTGCCTGAAATCACTCAGTCTTCCTAAGTGAGAGCCAGACAGAAATCTAAGCCTACCAATTCCCAGTCTCATACTTGGGAAATGGCTGGATCTGCCATCCAGGAAGCAGACCTCAGCCCTGCAGGAAAGGTGGTATAGATTTCATAAAAGAATGGACAATTAAATAGTCTCCCTATTTTAGGCAACCTTGATGATCACTGAGGGATGACTTGTGTTGAACAGTTTTGATTCTGGCAAGACCAGATTACACTCCCCTCTACCTGACAGAAACCCTACCCATCCTTCAAGTCTGGGATAGAGAGCTCAGAGAAGTTTGCTACTGAAGTGCAGCAGATCCCCACCACATCGGGGCCCCTCAGGGGCAGGGCTTTCCTACATCCATCTCTGCGTTGTCAGCTCTGAGACAGGGCCACTCAGAAGGTGCAAGGAAAAATGTGCTCTACTTAACTCTGGAGTTGGGAACATCCACAGAAACCACCTCATCCATGAGTAGCAAACAGGCGCCTCCATGTAGCACACACAGGAGGCAGCCAGTGGGGCTGGTCTTCACTGTCAGGCAAAATGTGCACCCACCGTTACCAGATCTCAGGTGGGACTGGGGAGATGGTTTTTCCCCAAGATTTAAATTTTGTCAACTAATTCAAATTAAAGAGAAAAAGAGAAGCCCCGTGGCTTCTGATCTCTTATGTGGTCCAGTCCTCTCACTTTACAGGTGGGTAAACTGAGGCCTGCAGAGAGGAATGGACTTGCTGTGGACATTCCAAGAGCCCAGGGGTAACTCAGGCCAAGGCGAGTCTGTTCTGAATCTCTTGGGCCAATTTTGAATCCAAACAGTCACTGGACAAGCCCATGCTCAGGAGCGCCTCAGCTCCATTCTGTGGGGGCTTGGTCATCTGCAACAGGCCCTCCACAGGAGGAGGGTCATAGATTTACCCATTGCTGCCAAGCAACAGGGAGCTGGCACTGCCTGCCTCCTGCCAGACTCACAAACGTGAAATCTCAGGCTTCTCATTCTCACGTCTGATGCTTACATAGCACTGACTCGGTGCCAGGCACTGCTTTAGTGCTTTGCAAATAGTAATTTATATAGTCCCCATTGACTGGGAAGCTGTATGAATTTTGACATCATTCCTGAGAAAAGCATATCCCTCCCTGGGTTCTGGCCCTGTAAACAGGAATGTTCTAAAACTTCGTCTCTCTGAGCCTCAGTTTCTTCATTTGTAAAATGGGACCAAGTCCTGGACCTGTCAGCACTGCCCCCTAAGGGCAGAATGAAGAATCATTGGGTGGAAATTACAGGGAGGCCGATGGTAGCTCAGGATGGGTTAGTTTTTTTCAGCTGAGTGGTTCACAGGAGAGATGGGCTGCCTCAGGCACTAGTGAGTTTCCTGTCGTTTGAGGCAGTGGAGCAGAGCCAAGCAGCCACAGGGGTGTTGCAGAGCTGCCTGGGCCCTGGGGCCACCTGCTTTGCTGGTTTTCAAACTGTTCTCAGCAGCAAACCTTGTCGCCCACATTCCCAGGCAGTCACAGAGGTGAAGCTACTGGGGAAGGGAAGGGGCTTATTAAATGTTTATTGAATGAGTGAACTGGTGGGGCCAGCAGAGCCAACCTGAAGGCTTCTGGGAACACAGTATGGAAATCCCGGTCTGTCCGATTGTTTACTTGTACAGAAGAGGGAACCCACAAGGGGAGTCTTCCATTGCACTCTGCAAAGAAAGCCCCATGTGGGGACAGAAACAAAACATGCATTCATAGCATTTGCCTATATATGCAAAGAATATCTCTGGAAGGAATCTTAGCATGGCCTTGCAGGGAAGGAATTGGGCGGGGGGGCAGGGGGTGTGGAGGATAACTTTCTACTATACTCTTTTGTTCCTTTTTAATGTTTTAGCGTGGGCAACTATTACTCATTTTTTTAAAAACCACAAATAGACTAAGCGTAATCAAAAGAAAGCCCCATAGGCTGAGAGCCCTGGACCTGGTGCCCAGGGGGCGGGGATAGCATCAGCCTAGATGGAATCACGGCTAAGCCTTGGCCAGGCACAGCAGCATCCCCTGGACTGCATCTGTGACTCACACACTCACCTCTTGCCCTCCTAGACCCCAAACATTGACCATCCAGATGGAAAGGATGCCAGGGCTGTCTAGCTTGACACGCTGCCACTCCGGGGTGCCCAGGTATGTCAGAGAATGTGGGTCCCAGAGCTGCTGCCCACCCCTTCTGGGGGTGCTGTCTGCAGCCATTTCCCCAGGCTTGCAGACTGCCCCTTTTTGGGGATCTCCATTACTCACACTGGGGACCTCACCCTATGGTCCAAGAATATGCCCCATGATTCTGGCTGGGGCTTTATGTGCATGTGTACCACCCTGAGGAGTAGGTGGGGCTTTCCTAAGTTGTCCAAAGGAGTCATTGATCCAAGAACTGAAGAGCCACGGACGTATCGGGGAAACCTACATTCCTTCCCCTGGTGTGAACAGGCCCGACTTGGCCTCCAACTTTTCTGCCCACTCTGTTCATCTCTCTGTCACTCAGCAGCCAGGCCACCCTTCCCTGGCCCAGAGCTCACGTGCTCATTCCTTCCTCAGGGCTTTGTCCCAGGCTTTGCCCCCAGCTCCTGACACCACAGTCATGCCAATGACACCCTGCCTACCCATCTTGTGAGACCAATTGGGTGGTGCCACCTCCAGGGACCCCTCTTTCCCAATCCGGCTCTCTTAGAAGTCATAGGACTTCAGGCCTCAGCACCAACTGCCAACTGCACCTTGGCCTGTTCCTCAACCAGTGAGAGCATCTGCCAGGGGCTGCTATGAGAGGCAGGGGACAGTGACACAAAAGTCCCCTGGGAACTGGGAAAAGATGCCTGTGTCTCTCGCCCTGAATTTCCATCCTCTGGGGACAGAGAGAGCTGCATCTCTGCCCCTCTGGTGGCGTCTGTCTCAGCGTTCCTTGACTAGGCCCTATGCTAGCACAACAGGTTCCCTGGACTTGGAAAAGAGTAGATAGATTTTTCCAAAACTGAATTCTTAAAAAAAAAAAAAAAAGTTAATGGAGATTGGGGCAGGCTTATGGAGCAGGAAATGGCATGTAGAGGAGGCTAGATTCCCAGCAGAGAAAGGAGGAGGGAGGATGCCAAGCCAGGCTGCGACTCCAGCACCAGCCAGGAGTGCCTCCAAATGCCCCTCACGCCCCACTTGCTCTTGGGAGCCCACATGGACACCTCCACATGCCCAGCGTCCCAGCAGCCTTGAGGAACAGGAAAGTGAAGGGACCTCCAGGCCAGGAATAGCTTGAAGGGCCAGGAGTCCATCCACATCAGGAGACACTCGTATGTCCTCCCTCCTCTGGCCTCCGCATGAGTTTGTGAGTAACAGGAGGGTCAGAACATCCGCCCTGGCCACAATGCAGGCCAAGAGGATGAAAGGAGAGGCTGAGCTGACATCCTTTGGCAGCCGTAAAGCTCTCTGCCCACGAGGATGAACATCGTCATCCTCTCCAGGGGCTCCCTGCAGAAGAGACCAGCCTAAGCCTTGCAGAGCCTCATGGAGCAGAGTCAAATGGCTCAAGGTCTGGGTGGAACTGAGGCCCAGGTCCAAGAGAGTTGGGCTGAGACGGGTAGAGGATAGGGGGCAGGTCCATGGCTCTGACCCCAAAGATCTGAATCCCCACCCCACCAACCCTCCTCAGGGTCCCTGTTACCCCATCCACTCATTGGCCCTTCAGAACCCCTTTGTGAGCTCAGAGGGCAGAGATACTTAGCCTATGGACGAGGAAATGGGCCCAGAGAGAGGCAGCTGATTTTGCACAACCACGCAGCCCCTCCTGTCCTACTACATAGGAGGTCACACTCTCAACTCTCAGAAAACAGAAGGAAAGGGAGAGACAAAAGGGAAAAAAAGTCAAGCTCCTTTAAATTGAGAACAGCAGCTCTGATCACTCCCTAGAAGGTTGTTGCCCTTTGAATCAGAGAAAAAAATGAGATCTCAGCCTCTGCTTCCCCATGGAGCATTCCCATCAGTGTGCAGGCTCAGCTCAGTTTCCTGAGTGGGCTGCAGTCCTCTGTTCTCCGGCCCCTCTGGGCACCTACAGACAGCCCCCCTTCTGGGCCTCCGTGTTCTGAGCTGTCACTGGACGAACCTGAACTCTGCTCTGCCTATTGCAGCGTAAGGGATGGAGGCTCCCCAGAGACTGCACTTGGGAGTCAGACAACCTCTAATTCTGCCCCTGTTAGAGCTGGTCAGGGTCGCCTTCTCCTTTGCCAAGGGTTCTAGGCTCTCCTGGGGTAAAAAGCATGTGACAGGGCAGTGTGAGGTCCGGACTCCTCCCCTTCCCTGGAGCAGCCTGAATGTGGCTCCTGCTCCCACTTAGAGCCCAGGTGACAGTGACGGCTGCCTGGTGCAGGCTCTGGGAGACAGGCTGCCCATGACTGCTTCCCAGTGACTGAAGTCCAGTGGGTATCAGGCCACATTCTTTTCCAGGCCGAGCCCCAGCTCTACTACCAACTCTTTGTGTGGCCCAGAGACAGCTGACTTCTCTGAGGCTCATTTTCTGTCCAGAAGATGAGAGGAAATGACCTCTAAGGCCCCCTTGGGTTTGACACTCTGAAGTTCTATTTGCTCACTTAGCTGGGTCCTCCTTCCTGCTGGGGCACCCTCAGCCCGAGTGGGGCTGCTGTGGCTTCCTCTTTAGGGAGGCACCTCTACCAGTCTCAGATAATTCACTGCAGGGATGGTGTCCCCTGCTCCCTGACCACCTCAAGCCTCATGCACGGCCTCAGGGCCCACAACCACTCAGGCCGTGGAACCCAGCTCTGTGGAGAAGGGGCCAGGAGGTTGAGCGGAAGACCTCCAAGGTCCCCAAGGGAGGGATGCACTTTTTAGCCTCATCTATGGCCTGGGTAGGTGGAAGCCACGCCAAGTAAACTCAGCCTCCGGGAAAATCTTCATTTACACAATACTTGGCTGAAGTCACTTCACAAAAGATTCACCATAAAAACCCCCCTGCAACAGCTAGCCCCTGAGCACCCAGGCTGCCTCTAAGACCACGAGTCCTTGGTGACCTAAGGAGCAATAGAATTTGCATATAGGTCCAAGTGACTCACTGTGGCATTCAGCCAAGTCACTTCCCCTCTCTGGGTCATTTTCCTAACGTGCATGCTGGGAGGCTGGCCCAGAGGAGCCGGGGGAAGGCAGGTGGCGGGCGGCTTTTAGCACTGAGGTCCTGTGGTTTCCCCTGGTTCCCCGCTTGCCCCAGCATCATGTGGGGAGTTTTGCTCATGTGTGAGGAATGGGCCAGACACACCCACTGGGAGCATGTAGGTCACTGGGACCAGAGCTCCCCACTAAGCCTAATGCCAGACCCTGGCCACACTCATCTGCCAACAGCCAGAGCACAGCTGGTCTCAGACAGCCTGGGAAACCCGGGGAGAACCAGGCCACCCTGAGCCCACAGGGATCAGTTGGTTCCGCATGACTGCTGGCCACATACTGGCCCTGGGCAGCCCCTGCTGAGCCCAGGGCCCCACCCCCAGCTCCCCATGCTGTGACAGTGCAGCCCAGGCTCACCCTGGCCCCAGGCACAAACCAAAGCCTGGGCACCGACAGCCTTTGCACAGATGTAACCCTGACCCTGCTCACCGGAGCGGGATGCGGATGGCGATGTAGCGGTCAATGGCAATGGCCAGGAGGCTGAATATGGAGCTCTGCGTGAGGACCAGGACAAAGCAGGCGATGAAGAGGCAGCCATGGCAGGCGGCACAGAACCCAGTGCTGATGGTGATGGCAAACGGGATGGCAAGCACGCCCACCGCGATGTCGGCCGCTGCCAGTGACACCACGAAGTAGTTGGTGACGTTCTGCAGGTTGCTGTTGAGCCACACGGCCCAGCACACCAGCACGTTGCCCAGGATGGCCAGCACAGCAATGGCCAGCTCCACCGTGATGTACACCCAGGAACCCATGATGGGCACAGCCACAGACAGGGAGGCTCAGCACGGACGTGGGCTGGGCCAGCTCACGGTCCATAGCTGCAGCCCGGCCGCCTGCCTGGCTCCCAGCCCGGCCCAGGCAGAGGGGCCCAGGCCCCTGAGCCCCCTCCTCACAGGAGCCAAGTGCAGCTTTGCTGGGGTGCTCTCCAGGGGTTTTTTCACAGAGGACTCTAAGTCTCCCAAAACCAGGCCCTCTCCAGGGCCTCTGGCATCAGTGGCATGGCTCAGCCCAGCTTCAGGGTTCCCGAGGCACCTGCAAAGGGACAGAAGTGAGAAGCTGAACCACCTGCACAGGGGAGGCCCTTCGGAAAGTGCCACCCCTCACCCCACATCCACCCTGGCCCCTGAAGACCCTATAGCTTCAGATCCCACCCCACCCACAGGCCAGGTGTCAGCCCGAGGATGGCCCCCAGGATGGCTGACACCTGGCCTGTGCCTGGACTGCTGTGACACCCATGCCCTGCCTGGTCTGCCGTGGTCATAGCCAGTAGGCAGAAGAGGTAGGATTTTGACCCTCACTTTAGAGGAGGACACCCAGAGAAGTCACTGAGTTAGGCTGCTTTCCCTGGTTCAGTAGAGTTCCCGCTACGACCCTCACACAAACCCCTCCCAAGGAGGCAGCCCCTTCTCCCAGGCTCTGCAGGACGATAGCACCATGGCCAGGCCCCTGCCAGGACTCCAGCTCACCCCAGTATCATCCATGGCTCCCTGCATTCCCTGCTCTGGTTATTGGGATCACGGTGCCTCCCACTCTGGGCTTGGGGCTGAGGATCAGCCGCAGTCTTGTGTTTTTCCTGGGTCCTAGATCCTGGCCAGCCCCATGACCCTCCCTCCCAGAAGGGCCCATCCCTGCCCAGGCTTTCCTGATCCCACTCACCATCTCTCACCAGGCCAGCTTCTCAGCCCCTGGCCCGCTCCATCCCACCAGCTCTCCCAGGAACTACCAGCACCCACCTAAAGGCCACTAGCTGCCCTGTGAAAGGACAGGCCAGAGATCCCTGGAGCTCGGATGTAGAAGGATGTAGGGAGCCGCCTGGTCCTGTCTCCCACTGCCACGGAGGGTAAGCCCTCTCACACTGTGCCCCAACCTGCTGCCTCCACGTGTCCCCGCCAGCCAGCTGCAGTCAGGGCAGGGGTGGTGCTGCAGCTGACTATGAGCTTCCCCTCGGAGGGAGCCGCCTCACCTCCCTCCTCCCACGCCCTCTCCCCCACCTGCTCCTCTGCCTGTCTGACACCAGGAATGACTGACTGAAATTTGGTCCCCAGCAGAAAGCAGGTACTGAGCCAGGACTCACTGGGGGAGTCTAGGCAAGAATGCTTTTCTTTTCTGGGCCTCAGTTTCCTGAGGCGGCTGGACCCCAAATGACCTCTAGAGGCTATGCCAGCTCTCACCCATGATTCCTTTTTTTTTTTTTTTCCTTAGATGGAGTTTTGCTCTTGTTGCCCAAGCTGGAGGGCAGTGGCACGATCTCAGCTCACTGCAACCTCTGCCTTCCGGGTTCAAGTGATTCTCCTGTCTTCACTTGATCTTAGCCAAAAGGCCGAGAAGCGATGGATGATTCTCCTGTCTTAGCCTCCTGAGTAGCTGGGATTACAGGTGCTCACCACTACACCTGGCTAATTTTCGGTATTTTTAGTAGAGACGGGGTTTCAACATGTTGGCCAGGCTGGTCTCAAACTCCTGGCCTCAGGTAATCTGCCCACCTCGGCCTCCCAAAGTGCTGGGATTACAGGAGTGAGCCACCTCACCTGGCCCTCACCCATGATTCTATGAGAAGGAAATAAACAGATTTTAAATGGCTCCCCAAGAAGTCTTGGTTCCCTAGCAGGCCTGAGCCCAGCCCCAACTCCCAGTGTCCCCCTCCAGCCTGTGAATGGTCTGGGTCCAAGTGGACCTCTGCCCATTAAACGGCCTCTCTTTGAGAGCTAAGAGGCCCCCAGATCTATCCCCTCCAGTCCTATACCCTCATGGGGCCCTATGGGTGTGTAGCCAGCAGCCACCACCTGCGTGCCTTTCATGTGGACTCAGCAGCCACCTCATCTCTCCTCCAGGACATGAGGGATGGAGCAGGCCTGGCAACTTGGAAAGAAAGTCACTCCTGGTCCCAAGCCCTGTTCAAAGGGCCAGGCTCCCCTCTACCCCACTGTCCATGTGACGGACCTCAAACAGGTGGACCCCAACTGTTCCTATAACTCGAATACCATCAGCACCTCAGGGGGCTGGAACAGGATCAGCAGAGGCTGTAGCCAGACCTGGGCCTGGAGGTTCTCCTGCACCCAACGGGCCCTTATGCCCCCACTAGGAGGCTTGGAATGGAGCCTCTGACACAGAAGTGGGAGGAGGGAGGAGAGTGCAGAGCCAGAGACCCTGCAGAAGCGGAGGTTTGCAGCAGCTGGAGAGGGCTCAGTCCTCCTGAGCCCCTGCTTTGCATTGTGTAATTACCTAGAGGCCAGCATTGCACTGTGTAACACAGCTTGTGCAGCCTGCTTAGGAGCTTGGGAAACAGCTGTCTGTGATTTCGCTGGTCCCACAAAGCCCATTCTACAGATGAGGAAGCTGAGGCCCAAAGGCTCACGTGAAGCGACCTCTCCTGGCCTCACCAAGAGTAGGGTAGGGGTCGTGCCCACAGAGAGCACAGCAGCAGGAGGGCTCCTGGGCCTCCACTCCCCTCCACTGCACTTGCCAGGCAGCCACTCACAAAGCGTGTTGCTGGCAGGGATGTGCCAGACTAGGTCTCCTGGCACCGTCCTTGGCCACACTCAAGGAACACAGTTATCCCTGATGCTCCTGGCCTCTTCCTGAGCAGCCTTCAGGGCCCCCCGACTCATGACAGGCCCCTGCCCAACAGGTACAAGTGAAGCTGGTGCTGGACCTGGGCTGCCTCCCACCCTGGTGCCTGGCCTTTGCCCTCTCTAGGGCATCTGCATTGACGGACACCACAGCCTTCTACCAATCTGACCAGCCCAGCCTAGAAGGCCGATGCAGCTCTGGACCGTGCTCCTGCAGGCTCTCCAGGCTGCTGCCAGCACATCCTGGGTGAGGCTTGCCGGGACCCACAGGCAACCTGGGCCCCTGCCAAGCCAGAATCCACTCTTGGCTGTGCCTTTCTCTGCACTGAGCAAAGCAGATTGGTGGAGCCAGAGGTACCCTTGGGGCAGGCAAGGGAGGAGAAGTGCATTCCTCGGGGAAAGGCTGGGAGCTACCCAGTCATAGGTTGGCAAATTGGTCCCAGGCCAGGGGGTGCCCTGACTTACAGGCTGTGGCTGATTTCTGCAGTGTAAATTCTCCCCGTGCCCAGTTTCAGGCTACTAATGTGTTGTGGACCAGAAGTGGGGAGCAACACAGCCACAGTGCCAGCTACTGCTGAGCTGTCAAACCTTCCGCTGTCCCAGGGGCCACCTACCTAGAGGCCAGCATTGCACTGTGTAACACAGCTTGTGCAGCCTGCTTAGGAGCTTGGGAAACAGCTGTCTGTGATTTCGCTGGTCCCACAAAGCCCATTCTACAGATGAGGAAGCTGAGGCCCAAAGGCTCACGTGAAGCGACCTCTCCTGGCCTCACCAAGAGTAGGGTAGGGGTCGTGCCCACAGAGAGCACAGCAGCAGGAGGGCTCCTGGGCCTCCACTCCCCTTCCTCAGAAGCCTCCCAGAGTGACAGGAAGGTCAGAGGCCCTGGGGAGGGGCCAGGATCTGGCAATTTCCTATCCCTCTCTGTTGGCCCTGTGCATCTAATTAATCCTTGAGTCATCTCTTGCTAACCAGGAGGGGAAATTAAATATTAATAAAGTAATGCTCTGTGACTGCCCCTTGTTGGGGACAGGGCAGAGGGCAGATGCTGCCCCATATAAACCGGGGACTCATGTTGTGGAAACGTGCATAATGCCTCTGGAAAGAACAACCCCATAGGATTCCACACAGTCAGACTGAAAGCTGCTGCTGCTTCCTGCCTTCCTCCTCACCTCCCCCAACCCGGCCACTTTAATTAAAACTCCATTTAATCAAAACCCACACATCTCCTAGCCCACTTCTTCTGGTTCCTTGTGTGTCACACTATCAAGGCCCTCTGTACACATGCCCAGATGGTGGCTATACCCCCCAGAGCCTGCTGCACCGTGGTGCCCACCAGCTTCTAGGCAGTGCCCTGCACACCTGCTCCTGAGTGTGGCTAAAGGAAACGAACAGGGCACAGTGCAGAAACTCGGACCCGCTCCAGCCATGCCGGCCTGTTCCTGGGCTCCAGAGCCCCAGCCTGAGAACCCACCTGCCACCTTCCTGTAACAGTTGTTTACCAAGTACCTCCACCAGGGCTGGCAGCACCCCAACTGCTGGGCCACAGGGAGATGGGCTGCCTGCTGCTGTGCCTGGGCCTCATCTGGGCCCTGAGCATATGGCAGGGGACCTCGAAGGAGAAAAGGATCCAGGACATTCCTGGGAGGTGGCTGCTGCCCTGTGGCTTCAGGCACCGCACATCACTCCCTATCTCCACAACCTTGGCTCCCCTAAGATGAGTTACAAATCAATTTCAAAGCACAGGAGGTAAGTGAAGGCTAGGAAAGGTAATCAACAAAATAAAAAATATGGAGGTGAATTCATTGCAGAAGAAAGGAAGATAAGACAGTAGTCCAATATTAATTTCAGAGACCTTTAGGATCTCCAAAGAGGCAAAGAAAGGAATGGCATCTGCAGACAACAATGAACTTCTGAACCAAAGGCAGAAATGAGCAAGGACAGGTGGATATGAGCGAGAAATCCTATCACATCAGGGACTGAAAGTAGAGGGATGGAAACAAGGGATGTGATGGGCCTCAGGCATACACAGGAGGCTAACACTGAGGAATTCTCACAGAAATGCCACAAAGAGACCGAGTCTAGGAGGAAACAGTTGAGAGGCACAGGGCAGACTGAGAAGCATCAGCAAGTGGCTTGTGGGGGCACAGCAGGTCGAGGGCCCCCGCTATGACTGGCTTTTGGGGCGGCTCAAAGCCAGGGCCCCAGGATCCCTGAACCCCTCCCAAACTCCTCAGCGCAGGTGCCTTCCTCACTGCCCAGTGGCAAGCAGCCACCCAGCGTTCACCCAGCATGGGCTCTGCTTCCCTCCTGCCCTCCAGGGCTGCCCCGTGGCCCCACTTCAGGTGCTGGGTACAGGCTGGGCCCAGGACCCAGAGAGATGCCTGGCACCCCTCCCCCCACAGCCCTAGTCTGGCCGCAGCTCTCTGCTCTTGGTGGCAGGATGTGGGCAAGATGGGGCCGAGACTGAGCTCCCTGAAGCTGGAGGCTAAGGCCCTGAGCCCGCCTCAGAGTAGCCCCCACATTATGCCCCAGGGCCAGCACTGGGGGCCGCATCTCCTGTTCCCCACACCCCCATGTATCCAGGCCAGGGGCCAGGGAGGTCACAGCCCCACCCCTTCCCACCTGGAGACCACTCACCCCCTCACAGGATGCTTCAGCTGACAGCCCTCCTCCAAGGGGCCGCACCCCACATGAAGGTGCTGGAGGCCCACACTGTGCTGAAAGTAGTCTGGCTGGGGGCGGCTCCTGCTCCATGTCACAGTCCCCAAGACCCAGGCAGAGCTTCCCGTCTGCATGAGACTGCTCACGTGTATGCAGGCTGATGTGAGGCACAAAAGGTCACGTGAAGGATCAGCACCTGCACCTCCCTCAGATGGCGGGCAACAGGTACTATGCTGCTGAAGTGGGGACAAGGGAGTGTTTCTAGACAGCCCCGAGGACACGGAGCCTAGTAGGCCTGGGTGGGACCGTTCAGGAGGCCTGAAGGGGCAGTGCTGGGTGCAGGGCCTCAGGAAGCCCCAGAGTGACTACGCTGAGGGTGGGAGGGGTGAGGACTGGCTGGGTCCTTGGGCAGGTGTGACAAGGCAGCCCCGAGGCTGACAGGAGGGCAGGGTGATGTAGCAGAGCCTGGCCACTGCTTCTTCTCACTGCACAGCCTCCCCAAGACTGGCTCAGGGTTTGCAGAGCCCACTGAGGGGCCAGAGGCGAGTCCTCCTGTGACACAGAGGCAGACAGATACCAGCCTGGGGCCTCTGGGGAGAAGTCTCCTGCCCAGACGCCAGAGGAGGCATCAAGTGACACTACTGGCCTCCCTCTGGCCAACTCTGGCAGCCTCTCCGCCAGGTGGCGGCCAATGACAAAGACCAGGGTTGCAGTAGCCCTTCTGAGGGGTGGGGCACAGAAGGGCAGCAGCCACCCCTGCTTGGTGACTCCTAGAACAGACCTGCCCTGCAGGAGGGGTGGGGCCTGAGGGAATCCCCATGGGGATTCAGAGAAGGGGCATCTGGGTAGGATTTGGAGAAGGAGGTGAAGAGAGAGAGGTGACAAGAGATTTGAGCAGAGAAAATGCCTGCGGAGGCTCGAGGCCAGGGTCCTGCTTTCCCAGGACTCCCATCGCCCTCATGCTGGGCCAAGGGACAGCTGCTCTCCTGCTTCTCCCCAGTCCCTGGCGGGATCCACAGCATCCAGGCTGCAGGGACTGGCCTCCCTCTCTGCCATGGAACTGCCCCTTCCCACCACCCAGAGCCCCAAGCCCTGTGCAGGAGGCAGGCAGTTGTGTGGGGGCTCCTCTCTGCATCCCACCCAGCTCCATTTCCTTCCCCATCTCAGACCCTCTGCTCCCTGCAACCTCCAGACCACCCACCTCCTCGGACCAAGGCCCTCGGGCCAAGCCCCCTCCTGTCAGTGGCCCAGACCCTTCCCCTGGGGGCTAGAACCCTCCCTTTCACCAGCTCAGCTCCTGCCTGTGTGGTCTCCTCTCCGCAGCCTCCCCACCACACATGCCCTAAATCCCCTCAGCCTGTGCTTCCCGCCTTCATCTATCCATCTGCTTGCCCGTCTTTCCTCTGCTCTCCTGCGTGCTCAGGGCCCAGTTTGTACTGCACCAGATAAGACAGAACCTGCAAAAACGGTTGAGATAGCAATTCTAGCTCATTTGGGTTAGGTAGCTCAGGAATTAGGTTGGTGAGAGGGTACCAAGGCCTTCTTTGGGGTGTCGAGACACAGCTGAGCACCACCAAGCGCTGCCCAGGCCCCCACCTGGACTTGGCAGGACTGATGCCTTCGAGCCACTTGCTTGCTCCCAAGCCAACCACTGTTCACATGTCCCTCTGCCAACAGCAATCCCTGTGGTGTCCCCTGATCCTCAAGGCTAACACCCTCCCTCCCGGGTTCCCCAGTTCCAGCACACACCCCTAACCGGCCCTCTGGTCTGCCCTAAACCTTCCCCCACTTGCCTCCAAGTCAAAGCCTTTCCACATTAAGCATTGGTAAGATCATCCTTGTTCTACAGATGAGATATTGGATTCCCCGGGAGCTGCTACCTGTCTAGGGAGTGAGTCAGGGAGGCAAGACCAGAACCCAGATGAGGGCACTGAAAGAAATCTCCAGCCCATCGGGTTGCCCACGAGGCAGTCACTGTCATTGCCCTGGTCCACCGCGGACTCCTGGAGGTAAGACCCCAGCTGTATTTGGGGATCTGCACTCCACGGCCCCAAGACCAGCCAGGTCAGCCTGGCTCAATGCCCGCCTCCCGCCAGAGGTGTCCGGGCTGCCTCCAGCCTCCTCAAGGCAACCAACAGGGAAGCTCACAGTGCAGCCAGCTCAGCCCAGAGCCTGGTCAGCACTGAGGAGACAGGGGACACGGATGGGGAAGCAGTGGCTGGTTTTTGCCTGAGAGACACTAGGATTGGGGGGAGCCTGGGAGACCCCAAAAAGCAAGGGCAGTACAAGGAGGGACGGACACGGTAGCTGTGGACTGGCGTGGATCTGCTGGGTCGGAGTGGGGGCTGCCCACAGGGCCCAGCCTTCCCAGCCCCGCCCAAGGCCTCCGGGAGCGGCCAAAGCAGGGCCAGTGAGGAAACCCCCACCCTGCAACAGCCTCCCTGACCCGCGGTGCTCCACAGAGCTCTCCGCCATGGTCCCCGGGGCCGGGGCACCCTGGGGCAACCCTGATGCAGGCATGGAGTATTGGCAGGGTGCCCCGCCGGGGAGTCCACGGGAGCCAGAGTGGAGTGGAGGCGGCCTGAGCGCCCCGCAGGAGGGGAGAGGGCCTTGTGGGGGGCAGAGCCCAGGAGAGAAGGTGCTGCCTCAGGATGGGGACAGAGAGCTGGCTCGAGCTGTGGCCCACCCTCCCTGAGGGCCACGAACACCTGCTCCTCTGTGTCGGCCCTGACTCCCCAAGCCCAGGACCCAGCCCTGGGTCTCCCTCTTTCTCCCACGGTACAGTCGGGGCGACTAAACACAGGGATCTTAGCTCTGCCGGCCCATGGCCGCCTTGCGCCAAATCCCTCGAGAGCCGCCACCATTCCCGCCATTCCTACCTCCGCTCCGGGCAGCCATGTAGACGGCCAGGGCCAGTCCGAGGCACGCACCCACCCCTCCCGTCCCCCGTCCTCGCCTGCGTCCCCCAAACCCAGTTCCCGTCACCACTGTCCACGGGACGCGCCCGCGCTCTGCCTAGCGTTCCAGACTGCCCCTTCCTCGGCTCGCCCGGGCGCTCGGGTGCCTCTGCCTGCGCCGCACCTTCCCCGGGGAACCGGCCTCGGCCCGGCCCCTCCACCTGGGGATCCTTCTTCGCCCCGGCTGCCCGCCCTCGGGACGCGCCGCTGCGCCCCCCAGCCCATCCCCGCTGGAGGAACTCCCGGAAGGGTCGTGCGAGCGCGCGGGGCCGGTCCGTGGCGCCCGGACGGACGGACGGACGGACGCTCCCTGCCCGCCACCTGCGGCTCCGCACCCCGCGCCGCGTCGGCCGCCGCACTTGCCTTCGCTCCCCGCCTACCCCGCGCGCCTTCCGGTGCAGTTTGAGGCGGCTCGCGGGGTCCGCACGCGGCGCCGGGACTGTGCCCGGGACGTGAGTGTGCCTGGCCCTGCACAGGTCGTGCCGGCGCCGCCGCGGGGCAGAACTCGGACCCGCGCCGGGGAACTGGTCTTGGGGCGGCAGGAAAGGAACCCTGAGGGGAGGGAACCCCAGCCTCCCAGCCCTCCTGGCCGCGCACCTCCGACGGCCCCAAGCCGCCCGGCCGCCAGCCCCGGACCCCCGGCACCCAGGACTCCGCACCCCGGCACCCGGGACCCTGCACCCCGGCTGACCTGCGGCTCGCGAGCCTGCTCCCGCTGTCTCGGCGGCCGCTCGGGCTCCCGCTCCGGCCGCGTCGCTCACGGGCGCCCCCTGCAGGCAGCTTTGAGACCCGCGCTGCCCCCCGCCCCGCCCCGCTGCATGGGGAAACCGAGGCCGGCGCGGGACCGGAGGCGTCGGACCATGAGGCCCGCAGGTGTTCCTGACAGGACGAGGCCGCGACGGGCCTGGACCGCGCCGCATTCCCCGCCCTCAGCCCTCCAGCGCGCTCTTCCCGGCCTCGCATCCGTCCCGCCGCCTCCTCAGCGCCACACCCCCTCCCTTCCAAGAGACCTGGGGCCTGGGAGTCCCCTTCCCCGCCCCTCGGAGCGCTATGGGCCCCACCCCCACACTCCCACTTTTCTTCTCTTTTTTTTTTGAGACGTACTCTTGCTCTGTCGCCCAGGCTGGAGTGCAGAGGCACGATCTCTGCTCACTGCAACCTCTGCTTCCCAGGTTCAAGCGACACTCCTGCCTCAGCCTCCTGAGTAGCTGGAATTACAGGCACGCGCCACCACACCCGGCTAATTTTTGTATTTTTAGTAGAGACAGGGTTTCACCATATTGGTCAGGCTGGTCTCAAACTCCTGACCTCAGGTGATCCACCCGCCTCGACCTCCCAAAGTTCTGGGAATACAGGCTTGAGCCACCGCCCCCGGCCTCCCTCTTTTCTAAGAAGTCCCAACTGCCACCTCTGCTGCCCCAGTCCTGTGGAACTCTGCCGTTCCTTATCAGAGCTGGGCTGGATCTGCGCCCCCGTGTCACCCCTTCTCCAGTGTCCAGCTGTGCCCACCCGCTCCCCTTCAAATCTTTCCATGGCTCCCCAGCTCCTTAGGGATAAAGGCCAGCCTCCTGAACACAGCACTCAAGGCCCTGCCTGGCCCTTGTTCAGTTCCCCACCATTAGCCCTACCCTTCCTGAGCCCGGCCGGGGGCTGGTATCTCAGTTCAGATATATGGCCCCAATTTCCAATGTTCCCTTTGCCTCTCCCCATCCCAGACTCTGGGTCAGAGACCCTCTTGTTCCAGCTCGTGGTGCCCAGTCTGGCCCTGATCCTCCCCCACTTCCCTGAATAAGGAGGCAGGGAGTCCTGTATGCACCATAGACTGGGAATTTTAGAGCCTGAGGCTGGGAATTCCCACGCTCGCCCCCTCTCACCCCCACCCTCCACTCGCCTGTTTTCTGGAGGCTTCCAATTGGGAACAACCTCAAGTCCAGCCCTCCAGACTATGCAAGGGGCCCCGCCTTCTACCCTCGCTTCTGGATGGATGTGGACTAATCCCAATTTTGTTCTCGATAAGACAGCCTATGTCAGACAGCTGGGGTGTTGGTGGCCAAAGGCTTTTGGGAATGCTTGCAATTCTAGGACCTCTGGGGACTGGTGGGGTAATGGCTAGAGGCCCAGGGTGGAGGGGCTTGCCCAGGGCCAGGCTGGCCCCTAAGGCTGAGGCCAGAAAGGAGGCATGACCTCTTTCACAGCAGCCACCACTCACTGCAGGGAGGAGAGGGTGGGTGGGCAGTGGTTGCACAGACACCTGGCCAGTGTGCTGGGAGGAGCATGGGGCCCATGGCAGTGACCATTGCCTGCCCAGACACAGCCTTGATCATCCGGCAGCCTCCCTGGTTTAAAGCCTGAGCCCCTTTCTCATTCAGCTAGTCCAGCTCTCCTGGTTCTGTCGTTCCCTAATGTCCAGTGGGGCCCTTGCAAGGCGGAGAAAAGCCTGGAATGTGTGAGGACCCACACAGCTTGAATTAAACTCTGAGGTGTGAGGCCCAAATGAGACTCTCGGGGTGCTGTCCCCAGGTCTTTCCAAAGAGACCTGGCCCTGGTGCCCCCCTTTCTCATCCTGGCCTTTGCTGACCCTCTATTCAAAGGAGCTTGCCTGCCCTCATTCTCCCATGGCCCTGGCTTTCCCTAGTGGAGGAGCTCCCCCTCTGGGTGGGGACACTGCCCTGGACCAGAGGCTGGGGCTTTCCTAGACCTTCCAGGACCCATATCCTCACTGGTAAAATGAATGTCTTGTGTCTGCCCTGCTCCCCCTGCCCCATGGAGGTTAAGCCAGACCATAAGGTAGGGGTGAGGGATGATGCTGGCCACGGGCCCACCCCTGCCCCCATCCTTGCTTCTGGGGATCCCATGAGGTAACACCTCTCCCGAAGTAGGGACAAACCCCTCCCACCCACATCTGCTGGACGCTGATTCATTCAAACCCTCACCCAGCAAACATGCAGGGAGCATTCTGAATCTTCCTGAGGGGCCCCCGGAAGCTCATGAGGCAGAAAACAGCCCTCAGCCGATTCTGGGATCTCTCTTGTCCCCCAGTGTGGACCCTGAAGACTCCTATTCTGTTCCCATCCTGGGGCCTGCACCCTTCCCGCGTGGTCGTTCCCAACATGGTCTGGCCATGTGCATGCCAGTCCCACAGCAGGAGGGGTGCGACCCCAACGTTCTCATGCAGGGAGAGAATGGCTTTGTTCCAAAGCTGGTCCTCAGGGTCACAGTGCCAAAGCCCCTAACATTCACCTTTAGGGCTCAAGGGGCGGTTCCATGCCTCAGCACTGGCGCTGGTGGAACTGTGTCCTGAGGCCGGGGGTGGTCAGGCAGGGCCTGCAGTAGTTCCAGCCCCAGAACCAGCTCCACAGTCCCCAGGGCTAGCCCGGGAACCAGCACCAAGGAGGCTGTGAGGGGCAGGCTCATGCCAGGACCCCACCCTTCCCCTACTGGCTCCTCCCTGGCCCTTCAGAGGCAGAGAGCCTTGAGGTCCTGTGTCATATGTCAGGTGCCTTGGCCCAGGTCTCCAGTGATGCCACTGCCCAGAGACTGGGCACCGGCCCGGCTGTTCAGTTCAGGGGTGGGGAATGGCACCCGGGAGGGCTGGCCATTCTGTTCCCGTTCAGTTCCCAAACTGCCTGCCCCATGTGCCTTCTCGACAGAGGGGCCCATGTTCTTGGCACCACACACCTTAAGGGCACCTCCTCAGTCTTGGCCTTGCTGTCCCCTTGCCAGCCCCGTGCCCACCTCAGCTGAGTGCTGTCCTCAGATATCAAGGCTGTGGGGCAGGGGGAGGGCCCTGTGCAGGTGCCTGGGCCACCACCCCACCCAAGGCCCAAGGGAGCAGCAAGGGTGAGGGGCAGAGCCGAGTGCAACCACTGCCCCTTGGTAGGCACATGGAGGCCCCTGGCAGGCCCCAGCTTCTGGCTCTGGGTTTTGGTTTCCCTGCCCAGCCCCAAGCAGGCTTTGAAAAGACTGTGGACGCCCACCCTTCCTTCCATCCAGGCCCAGGCTTCTCAGGCCAGGCGGCAGGGCCAGCTGGGCCTCCCCTGCTCCAGGATTCCGGCCCTTTGTTCCTGCCCAGGATGCACCTGGTGGCCTCTGGCCCTCATTGTTTGCTCTGGGGCCAGCTGACCTGCAACAGGAGCAAGACATGCCAGGCCCAGGACAAGCAGCCGGTGAGCACTGGGAAGGGTCCCTGGAAACTGACTGGGTCACCCTGGGTGCTCCTCAACTTCTCCAATGGGTCAGGGACCTCACAGAGCTCCAATTTATCCTAACAGAGGTCCTGCAAAGGCAGAAGAGTCGTGGAGAAAGTGATCTCCGAGTCACTGGCCACCATTGCAGGTGCAGGGGCAGCCCCCTCCTCCCATTCACCCCCACCCACTCAAGATGTTCACCCCACCCGGTATCTGCTTCTCGGTGTCAGGACAAACAGCAACTGGATAGCAACCTGGCCTTGGGAATGATCAGTGTAGATGGGGAAGCAGGCCCCAAGGGGAGTAGAACCCCAGGGTGGGCACACAGTCCTCTGCAGCCCCTCACACTGGGGCTGGCCACTCATCATCCTGATGGCTCTACACCACCTGCCTGCTCTTCCTGTGCCCTCAGCCCTGTGACCCGCCAGGCCTCTGCATCCCAGGTCAGAGAGGGTGCCTGATAGGAGGGCTTAGGAGGGGGCCCCTGCTTTGCAGAGGTGGAAATGGCCCAGCACATCACAAGTGTTGGTGGCTGACCTGGGGAGGACCCATGTGCCCCGACCCCTCCTCAACGCTCATCCTGGCAGAAGCCTCTGGTGCAACGTGGCCGCGTGATGGCCTGTCCTTCCCCTCGGGGCACATATGCTTCCTGCCTGGTGGGTGCCTGCCGGGGCCCTTATCTGCCTTCCAGAGCTCAGATCCCAAGACTGCAGACCCTCTGCCACCCCCTCCTCACACACATGAGGGTGTGGAGACCAAGGCCAGCTTTCAGCACCTGCTCTGGGCCTGGCTATGGCCAGTCTCTCCACACCCATCCCACTGCCTCACAGCATGCTGCTCCCTGACGCACTCCCAGCCTGAGGGGCCGGTCAGGCCAGGAAAGTGGAGTCCTCTCCTGTGCCCAGACCAGCCTCCTGTAGAAGCCCAGTAAAGTCCAGACCTATTGGGGTTAGAGCTCTTGCCGTAATCGAGCCCTGCATCTCAGCAACCCAGGAGTCTGTCCTCATCCACCCGACGTACAGGGCAGTGGCTGCCAGTATGTTGAGATCGGTTCTGTCTGCCCCAGTTCCTCAACTAGGGGACAACCTAAAATAGATGCCAGGCTATCCCAAGACTGCAGGAAGTGCTGGCCCTGGGGGTCTTCGGCCACAGACCTGGCCAGCCTCAGGGCTGCTGGGGCAGGGCATGGCACCTAGGCCCAGGACCGAAGCCCCTTAAGGGTATTGGAGGGGTGTGGGGGTTCCTTCTGGGATCTCTCCTCTCCCCCTGGAATCTCACAGCTTTCCCCTTCCAATTTAGCCTCCCCTCAGAGATTCTGGAACTTTCTCTGAGTCGAGGTAGAAATGATGCCCTCCCCAGAGGTGCTGCCCTGGGGAGCAGGAAAGCCAGCTCTGCATTGAGGGGAGCTGCATTGTACAGGGCCTGCAGGCCCCCAGCAGGTCAGTAACTCAGCTACAGAAGGATCGCCTCAGGGCCACCCTAGTTAGCATAAGGCAGCTGCACCGCAGGCGGGAGGGACAGAGGATCTAAGAGGGACGGAGGATCTAGGAGTGACCGCACCACCTGGGGTAGCAGCTAAGGGGCCTGTGCTGCCTGGTTGAGGTTTAGGTGTGCTGGTAGGCAGGGGGGACCCCTGCTAATGCGTGGAGCGGCCCTGCAGGCTCCACGGACGCTGGCTGGCCATTACGACAGAACCCCCTCTACATGGCAGAGGACACAGCGCTGGGGCTGCTGAGCAGGGAAGAGCTGAGTCCAAGCCCGGTCTTGCCTGTCCTTCCACACCCAGCCCCCAGCTCTACAGCTGTTGCCTGCTGCCCACCCCGGGGAGCCTGAGCACCTGCACGCCACAGCTCAACTCCTGGATTACTTAGGGGCACGGCAGTTGCTGGGCCCCCAACCCCTGGGAGTCTCCGTCTGGGAAGGGCACTCACCACAGGCCCTTGTGTGCAGGAGACAGGACTGCCATGGGCCCTTTTGCATGTGACCTGGGCAAGGTAGTAAGTGTTCTCCAGGCCACGCTCAGTGCATTCACAATCACTGTAGTGGCTCACACCTGTAATCCCAAGGCTCTGGGAGACGGAGGGAGGAGGACTGCTTGAAGACCAGTTTGGGGAACATGGTAAAAGCCTATCTGTACAAAAAAAATAAAGAAGAAAAAAATAGGGCATGGTGGCTCACGCCTGTAATCCCAGCACTCTGGGAGGCCCGCAGGCCCCCAGCAGGTCAGTAACTCAGCTACAGAAGGATCCCCTCAGGGCCACCCTAGTCAGCATAAGGCAGCTGCACCGCAGGCAGGAGGGACAGAGGATCTAAGAGGGACAGAGGATCTAGGAGTGACCGCACCACCTGGGGTAGCGGCTAAGGGGCCTGTGCGAGTGGATAACCTGAGGTCAGGAGTTCGAGACCAGCCTGACCAAAATGGAGAAACTCCATCCTACCATACATACAGAATTAGCCAGGTGTGGTGGCACATGCCTGTAATCCCAGCTACTCGGGATGCTGAGGCAGGAGAATAACTTGAAACTGGGAGGCAGAAACTGTGGTGAGCTTTCACCATTTCACTCCAGCTTGGGCAACAAGAGCGAAACTCCAACTCCAAAAAAAAAAAAAAAAGAAAAAAAAAATTGCTGGACATGGTAGCGTACACCTGTAGTACCAGCTACTCAGGAGGCTGAGGCAGGATGATTGCTTGAGCCCCGAAGTCAAGGCTGTGGTGAACCATAATCAACAAAAACCAACAAAAAAACAATGCACAGAAAAAAAGGTTTATCTGGGTGCCTCTGGGTAGTATAATTGTTTTCTTCTTTATTTTATACATCCTGACAATTATTTCCAAGATGATACATGCCTAAATACAAAACCCCTCCAGACACACTCCCCTGTACCTGGGGAAGGCATGTGTCTGGGCTATGCAGGGAGCTTCCATTCTCCTGGGGGCAGCTCTGCCAGGATCTCTGGGGTCTTGGCATCTGTCACAGAACCCCAGGGGTTACAAGGCTCACCACCCCAAGGGCACCTCTGAGCCACATGGTGATATACTGTGGCCCAGGGGAGGCCACTCTGGACTCTGGGTTAGGATCTTCCCATGAGAGGAAGTGCACCTAGGGGTGGGGCCGCAGGCTGGCTCAGAGGTGCCCTTTTCTATACAGCCGGTTCCAGGAGGCAGTTGGGTTCTGGTTTATTCAATGTCAGAGGGACATAAGGGAGGGGAGGGCAAGCTAGAAAAGCCCAAGCTGGTTGTTTCAGCCATTTTAATACATTCAAGAATACTTATTAGAACAACATTTAAAAGTATTGTCAGTCAGCAGAAGCCTGGAATTAAGAGAAATAGAAATGCGACTGGCCCTTTTGCAGTAAAGCTTGTGCTTGAAGAAGAGGCAAACTGGTTCCTGGAGGCTTCATGCCACGTGCCGTAGGACTGAGAGCATCTCCAAATGTCACTTTAAACATGTGTGACCATCTATAGTCATTGCTAAAGCCCAGTGTTCCAAGGATCCTACTAAGACAAGGCAAAAGGTACCCTCACCTGCAGATCTGCATGCAAACCTTCCCCAGGGAGGGGCCCGATCAAAGCCTCCAGACAGGCAGGGCCAGGCCCTCCCCGTGCCCATCCTCTTTCCCTGTAACTGACCCCAAGGCCTGATGCTGGATCCAGGAGACTCCCAGATGGAAAACACAGATATAGCCCATCCATCCATGGCCACCTTCCTCCAGAGGATCCCGGGAACGCCCCGACACCCCCATCCCATGAGGCACCAGGGCTGTGCTCACATGGCCAGCAAGGGATCAAGTTGGTAACTGCAACTTGGGGAAATCCCCTCATTCTTAGCGCAAAATAGCCCCCAAGGACACAATAAATAAACAAAACCATGACCAGACACCTGGATGCGGACAGGTGGACTGGCTCTGTGAAGGCAAATGAGAGCACAAGCAGGAACTGAGGACACCTAAGTGGAGAGACAATTAAAAACAGTAATTCTCATACGAACATCAGTCACTCACGCTGACAGCAGAGCTGGCCATCAGCAGAGCAACAGCAACTCAGACAGAGGGCACTGGCCCAGGTGTCTGCAGGGGTCTCTGGTATGCTCTGTGGTGTGACTTTGCTTCCCTGACTTCTGCTTTCTTAGCTGAAAACAGGCATTTCACCAAAGGGTGCAGCCAGTGGCAGCAGCCTGAGCTCCCAGGCTGACATGTGGGTAGGGCTGATGGGCAGCTCCTGGCCATCTGGTGTCGGTGTGCTGGCAGCTGCACCCACACAAACTGCCCCTTTTTTCATAACCACACTTTCCTAGGCTACACGAACATGTTAAACTTCTAGTCTAGAACATCATACTTGAATGCACACCCCTCAGCCCACGATTGGGTTGGCCAGGCCTCCTGGAAGCCCCTCATTGCATCTAGTTTGTGGGGCAGTGACCCCGCTTCCACTGGTGGCTGGTCTTCCTTGTGGTGCTCCGCAGATGACAAACACCGTTGTATTCTTGAAGCTACAGGTCTTGTCTGGACATTGTTCAAACCAACAGTTACCGCATTAGGCACACAGGAGATCCCTATTCCCAGAAAGAGCTGTTGAGTCCCAGCCTGAAAGCATCTCCAGTGACCACCTTTAAATAAGGCTTTGGTTCAAACAGCATGGACCCAGTACCTGGGGAAGGTGGGTGTGTGGGGCACGGACCCAGTACCTGGGGAACGCATGTGTGGGGGGCACGGACCCAGTACCTGGGCAAGGCGGGTGTGGGGGGCATGGACCCAGTACTGGGGAACGCAGGTGTGGGGGGCAACCCAGTACCTGGGGAAGGTCGGGCAAGGTGGTGGGAGACAACTCAACCACTGAGCCCTGAACGAGGTCCTGCCTTGGCCATGGAGGGCAGCGGCTGCCCTCACAAGAAGAGTTAAGGCACTTTCTTCAACTCTGGCCTAGGAGGATGAAGCGCCTCAGTGACTGTAATGACAGTGCCTGGGCTCCCTAAAGTTGTTTACTTTTCTCCTATTTCCTGCTTCATTCCTTGCTCTCACCATGCTAATGTACAGATCTTGTGTTTAGATTTCTATGCTTATATATGTAACTTTGGTACTAAGAGAACAGAAGCAACTTTTTCCAATATTGCTCATAACAAAACAAAAATCTTAACTGGAAAAACTCCTTATGATGAGGAAATCTAAAGCCAGAGCTGGGACTCCAAACCCTGTCCAGGATGGAAGACAGGTGGCAGAGCCCAGGCAAGGGGACCCTGCAACTGCCTCCTGTCAGAAAGCCCAGCCGCGGGAGTGCAGCGGCAGCACCCCCAGCCCTGGAGTGCCTGCACTGCACCCTCTAGATGCTCTGCTAGCTCATGCTGAAAACGCCTGGATTATGTCGGCCAGGATAGCCCTTGTCAGGTGTGGGGTAGCTGACCCACATCTGTGGTGACAAGCTCCTCCAAACTAGGATCGTGAAGGGTCCAGGGCGCTGGGAAACACCAGGCGCTGGCTGACTTTCCTTCTGGGTTCTCACCAGCACGGAACCCACCCTGGCCAACAGTCAGGAAGCGCCACGACCGAGCCTTCATCAACCCCAGTGAGTTTCCCACAGAACTGAATCCCCTTTCCCAAGCTGAGCTGTGTGCATCAGCCCTTTTTGTTTGGTGCCCTGGAGCACTAGTGTAGTTCAGTATTCTCTTCAGAAGGAAAACTTCAGCAGCCACTGGCCTTTGGGATGTGTGCTGAGCCCACATGACCTGAATGGATGGGTCATGTGGGAGGGACCCCAGCGGGAGCTGTGGGCCACACGGCTGAGTTCTGCCAATACAGAAGCCCCAAGCTAGAGGCTCACACTGCGGGGCAGCCCAGAGTTGCTGGAAGCTTTACAGGGGTGCGTAGCTAATGGCGTTGGTGTCGCTCGGTCACTGTGGAGGGTCCCCCCGCTGTTGGGGCAGCTCCTCCCGGCACGCTCAGGTTTCAAAGTACTTGTAGATTGCTGTCACATACAGCATCACGTTCTGCCAATCAGGCCGTTCAGTCCGCACCATTTCATTAATGTCCTGACAGACAAGGAAGAGGCTCAGTTAGAACTGCAGGTCACCACCAGGCTGTCTCTTGGGCTCTGCCACAGCAACATGGACTCTAGGGGTTGTATGGGGCCCTGAAATATTTTCTTGGCCTAATTACACGTTTCAAAAGCCTGGCCAAGAACACTTCCTACCTGGGCATCAGCATCTTCCCCAGGCCACCCACCCCTGCCCCAGAGCCACAAGCAAGGTGGCTCTCTGCTCCCTGCCATGGCTCTGCAGAACTGGAAGGGTTTCACCTAGTATGGGGGGTGGGGGAGAACTTCCTCCCTCCTCCCCCATCTGCCTCTCTTCTTAAACCATTCCGTGGGGGACCCTTTTGAGAGCCCTTCTCAGCCCCAGGAACTGGCCTAGGAGAATTTCGGTCGAGAGCTCCCAGAACCAACACTCTGATGGCCTTCACCATGGGCAACAGTCTGAAATCATCCAAGACTCTGCTCTGTAACTGTGCTCTGCAGAGAGGCAAGTGGCTTGTGACCAGTGAACTGATGTTTTAGGAAAATAAACTTGGGAAACTGTGGACCCACCCCTACCCCACTCCAGTGTCTCACAGCCTTTAACATGCAAAGGAAGGCTTCAAAAAGTGATACACTGCCGCTGCTGAAGGCTTGGGGAGTGTCCCAAGGGGCTGGCCTGAGAGATCCTTCCCTTTCCCGTGGGTGAGGAACAAAGGACGTGCTGCTGAGCACGCAGGGTCAGGAGGGCGCCCTTGGTGACTGGGCGCAGAAAACAGAAAACCTGTCTGTTCAATGCAAGAATCTTGACTATAGAAGCTTTTTAGGGTGGGAAAAAGGCCCACTTTTAAAAAATATTGGAAGTTTACACGTGTTGTAAAATATCCAGGAATGGAGAAATATTTAACTTATTTTTTTCCCTGTGCAGTTGAACAGAGACCACCCTAAAAAAAGCACACTTCTAGCAATGTAGATGCACCTGTGGCACGAACACTCGAATGAGTGAACGTGGTTGAAACACTTCCTCACAGCACCTCTACTTGCTACAAGTTAGGGTCAGGGCACTGGAGATGGGGGGAGGTGGCCCTGGGGAGCCCCATATACAGGACTGTTTGAGGCTTGGCTGGGCCTGTGGGCACTCTACCCTTTTTGAAAATCCCCTGATGGTGTGTCTCATGCAATGCTGTAGCACTCAGTTTACTTAATAAAAGTGTCTCTGGGTGTAGAAGGTTGGCTTTGGATTCGGACACTTTTTCTCCCAAAAAGTCAGGTTCAGCAAGGTAGAAGTGTGAGAGGCCTGAAGAGCCTGAGAACACGCTGGGTTTCTACACGTCTCTCCCCATGCCCTAGCAAGGAAGTGCAGGAGCCTCTCATCCAGCCTCTGAAGTCGCCTGCCTTTTCTGGGAGCTGCCTTGCCCTCTCCCTCTGGACAGACAAGGCAAATGGACCTGCTGGCATGGTGTTTTTGACAGTGACATTGTCCTTCTGACTTGAGGATTCCCTTATGAAAGAGATGACTGTGAGGAGCCTCCCCAGATAAGGCTGGCTGGGCCCACAGTTTCAGGCCTCCCACCCTTTCAGGGGGCATCCTCAGGGCGCTTCACGTGAGCTAAAGTGTTGGGGGCCAGGACGCATGATCCCACATCTGTACCCACCCTTGATGGGACCCTCCCTTGGCCCCAGAGCACCCTGTAGCCACCCACGCCCATGAGGATTCAGCTTAAAGAGGACTGAACTCTTTCTAACCAGAAGGAGGGCCCTGCCAGTGACTAAGGGGGACAAGGGCTCACCAGTGTGGATTTGATGCCAACACTTTCAGCTGCCTGGAAAGCCAGCATAAAGTTCCTTCTCTGTAAAAGAAACTGTGTCATTGCAGTGCATGAACAATGCATGGAGAAAGGTCACATGGCCTCCACAACCACCTGGGAAAGATGCACCTGAAGGATGACACCCACCTCCACCTGGTGCCCCAACAAACCTATGCTTGGGAGCCTGAGCTTCTTTCTGTATCTGCACCAAGTACCCTGCATTAGGCCCTGGCCACCCCCCTCCCTTCCACCAACACCTGTTCCTTCCTCACTCCTGAAGAATCCCACTTCTGACCCACCAACGCCAAGGCACCTGAATCCATACCCCCCAAAGCTAGTTAGGAATGCTCATCCAATGAGCTTCCCCCACAGGGGTCTTCAAGGGGTATCTGCAGGGCTGGGGGCTGACATGGGGAAGCAGAGGACTGGGGTTGGGGCTGCGGGCCTATATCCTCTCCAGCAGCCATCTGGGCAGGGCTTCTTCCCTGACCCTGTTCCTAGGGAGCTCTCGGGATGGAACCCATCAAACCATGCCCTGGGAGTGCACAGGGTTGGTGTTTCTTGCAGTTCTAAGGCCTACAGTGCAGAATGGGCCATGAAGTGACAGCCCTCCCCAAGGTGGCAGGAGGCTGGCCTGGCCTGGTCAGCACTGCCTGACTACTCTTACTTTCAGGGGGCTTCTTGGCCCCTTCCTGGTGAAACTCTTCCTCTTAAATGTAGTAACTCAGGAAGGACTGGCTGCTCCCACCAATAATTATATCATTTGGGGAATCCTGAACCAACCAAATACTACATACAAGTTGGGCCAGGGACTGGTGGGCTCAGCATGAATGACCTGATCCCAGAATAAGACCCAGCTGGCATAGGGCAGTCACAAGCTAGCACTGTGGCATGTGACCTGTTGAGGGCAGGCACTGCCCTTGGTTCTCAGCCCTCCAACCCTATGAAGCAGATGCCAGAAACTAGTCCCCTGTGGCCTACCTTATCCTGGCTGTTCAGTTCTTGATATGGAATGTGAGCGGGCAGATAGGTATGCAGGAGGGCACAGAAGGCCAGCCCATCATTCCAGCTGCTGCTGAAGTTTGTAATGTCAATATTCTGAAGGAAAGAAGAAAAACATGTAACAAACACACACTGGGACCCTCTTAGGAGATGCCAAGGACACAGGAGGCCTCAGATGCTGCATGGCCTCCAAAACAAAAGCAAACCCAGGGCAGGGGAGCCTCTGGAGAAACCACAGCGGGTGGGGGCTATATCCAAGGGCTACCTGGTGCTTATGACACCCCCACCCATCCCCCCACCAACTGTAGATGGCTGCCCCTGTGTAGTCATGCCTGGGCCTGGTGTAACACATGGCATCTTGCTAACTTATTAGGTGTTGCTTACAAAGAGAGGCCTCCGCCACCATGCCTAGCTAATACTATATTTTTTACTAGAGACAGGGTTTCTCCACAATGGTCAGGCTGGTCTTGAACTCCCGACCTCAGGTGATCCGCCTGCCTTGACCTCCCAAAGTGCTAGGATTACAGGTGTAAGCCACCATGCCCGGCCTTATTATTATTTTTTAAAGAGACAGGATCTCACTGTCTTCAGGCTGGAGTGCAGTGGCACAATCACAGCTCACTGCAGCCTTGAAATCCTGGGCTCAAGTGAACCTTCCACCTCAGCCTCCCAAAGTGCTGGGATTACAGGTGTGATCCACCTTACCTGGCCCAAGATGTTTTATCACATAAAATATTCTGCAACTCAGCTGGTATGCAGCCTTTATCCTTATTTGCAAGAATCCTTATGAAGATGAACACACACATTTCAATTTTCCTAATTCACACACTTTACGTAGACACCACAAGCTGAAAAAGAACATCGCATCGTCCAACCACCCTGTTCCACATTTCATTATTTCATGCCATCTTCAACTGCACCAAGAGCCAGCTTCCTAGGTGATTGAGAAAGCCCAAATTTTATTATTCAAGGCAAACCATCCAGCTTGTGGGGAACATTTTATACTCCTCCCAGGAATGAGTGATTCATAGAATAATATTAACACTATTATTATTATTATATTATTAACTATATCTGTATAGTCTTACAAAGTTTACAAAGCACTTTATGAATCTTGACCCCTCTTTATATACTGTTAGGACATAAGACCAAGTCAGGGACCTGTGGCTCAGAGACAAGGGCAGGTGGGGATCATGGGAATGGGAACCCAGGCTCGGAGCTGCAAGGATGTGTCCAACCAGCAAGGGCCCAAGTAGAGCAGGCTGGGCAAGCCGCCCCTGTGAGGGAGACCATCAGTCCAGCCTCACAGCTGGACTTAGAAAGCAGCAGACCATGTGGAGGATCACGAGGCTGACTCTTCATCAACTGCATCATCAAAATGTATTGTCTGGCCCCTGACTGTATGTGCCCGGGTGCTCCAGTATCTATGCAAAGCATGAACCTTCAAGGACAGCAGCCCTGAGAGTTACTTTCATTAGCCATTTCCTCTCATCAATGTGACCATCTGCTGCTTCCAGCTTCTCTGATATGACCCGGAGACACTGTCATAAACTGCTGTGAGGAAAGTCACCAGATTAAGGAACAAGGAAATGCAAACCTGCCAAGAGTCTGCTGACATCAGTCCTTCCCAAACACCTGGGCTGGGTGAGAATGCCCTCTGCCTCAGTGCTGCAGTCCTCACACTTTCTGGCCATGAAGACACAATCCTGAGAGTAAGTCCTACTATATTCCCAAGAGGCCTGGCCCGCCCTCCACAAGGCTCTCTGCTCTGGCCATGATTTAACAGTCACCACTCCATAAAGGGTTCTGATGACCTAATGAAGAAGGTGCCTTGTAGCAAACAGTGCTTGACAGTTACTGCTGACTGAAGACCCCTGAACACATGCACATGCATGCAACTTCACCTCTTTGATCTCATCTGAATCTCAGAAAGCAGCTTATCAGGGAGCCAACTAGGACCAGGGAGGAGTGCTTGGCAGGTGGCAGTGAAGACAGGACTGCAATGCTTGCCCCAAGCATCCTGTGAGCAGTATTCACTTTAACTCTCACAGTCACCCAGAGCAATTTGGAAGGAGGGTGAGGCTCTGA